CTTTGGAATCCAGGATGAGTGGCCTATCTGAAGAGAAAAATATTGTTCATTCTCATATTACAGAGTGCAGTTTCAACAACTAGGACCTCCTCATGCAAACCAGCTTATTTGACTGGAGGACGCACCCGTTTTAATGCTTGAGCGATAGATGTATGATATCGTGGACAATATTACTGGATATGCATTTATCGTTAGGGATTTGGAGCAACAAGGATCACAAAACACGTATTATCTTCAACTTCTACCTCACAAGCATGGTCTGTACACATCGCAAGATGGTGGAACATTGTATTTTCACTTGATATGATTCATTTCGATAAAAACTTGTTACTTCGAAAACAAAAGGCCTTTGCGTAGTTCACGAACAGCTAGTTGAATTGCACAATACTGGTACGGTCTGCACTTACCTTCCATGAATATCAGCTGATATGAAAATGAGATATTTCGTATGTGAATATTTCTCGCATACGATCATATTGTCTGGTCCTCAAAGTCGTTTCCCGCCAAAGAAATTTGCTACTTTTCTGAGAGGGGCTCGTACGGGAGATCTAGGCGCATATGAACGATGACTTTAAAATGGGACGGTGACACACAGGGTGGGAATATGCCCCCAAAATTTTAGCCTTCGAGCTTTCCAAGTTGCTGAGTTGAAAGTGAGTGACGAAGCTCACTTCCTTCCAAAAACACATATACACACAAACGGATGACCTTTCGGCAATATGTGTTTTTGCTCGCTGTAGAAGCACTACAGCGCTCTACAGCACAAGCGCATAATAACCAAACCGGGTTTATCCATTACAAGTTATTTGATCAAAAATTAAATTTTGTCTCAAGACTCAGTGCAAAGTATCCATCACTGGAATGCAAACCTTCGATATCATCCGCTTAATTCTATGTATCTCGCTTTTTTTTTCTAATATTTATGCGGCTCTCTGCATATTTTTTAAGCACATCTGGCTTGTTTCTCCACTGCTCCCACCAAGCAAAAGGCCATGCATAACTGCTACAAAAACCAATCGAAAAATTCATAAAAGCACGGAAAAGAAAAGGAATGCCGGTTTCAGGCACCAAAGAACACTTAATAAATATAGTGATAATGAAAATCAGTAAAATATTGCACAGCACCGGGATCATAGTAACACGCAACGTCGTAACTGGATAATTTGGAGGAAAAACATGCAAAGACAACAATTTGAGCAGTAACATAATCAGAACAGATTAAGAGTGCATATTAATGTGAATAGTGACCAATCAGGTAGCACACACATACATCGAACAGGCGATGAGCAGTAATTGAAGGTGTGCAATCTAAGATCGAAGGAACAAGCATAGCTACGCTCGGCATGTGGGTGCATCCCAGTAGCATCACTGGACTTGAGCCCGGCAATCTCGGTAATGAATAGTAACATGCACAAAAGGCTGGTGAATTACGAGAAGCTGTTGTGAAGAGGGTGAAAAGCGGAAAAAAATCGGGAAATCAGTTGCGCTTCTTAACTTACCCAGCATATTGAAAGGTATCAAGCTTTCTTTTCTTCTGGATTTAAGAATTGTTCCATTTTTAGACTGCAATTTCCGTCAATTATGTAAATTTAGAAAATAGAGGTATGGAAAAAGAAGGGAAATGTTGAATGCACTCTTTTCACCGCAACAACAATTAACAGAAATCCAAAATTTTCCAAACTAATACAAAATGACAATTTGAGCAAAACCACAAACAAAACTGGAAATCTCATAAAAACCCAAAACATACAAACGTAAACTCTTAGTCGATATTTATTTTTCGTGGTCTAGGAGGAGTAGTAATATTCGGGATGAAGCGATGATGATCAACATGTGAATCAAAGAAATTTCGAAGAAGCTTTTTCAAACTGCTTCTGTTCGAAATAACGTTGAAGCAGTTCTTTCAAAACACTAAACAAACGTTAGGTTCACGAATAGTCTGATCATTAGGAGATAAAGCATTGGTCAAAGTAATTAGAAAAAATTTTTAACTGCAAAAGAGGAGGACTCTAGTTGCATGAATCAGTAGCAGCCTTAAGTATTTCAAGTGATCACAGCCACAAAAAATAACAAGGTAAGTGTAATTTACACTTGCAGACAATATTAATGAATGGAAACAATCACCAATCCAGGCTGGAACGCACCAGGCTCTCCGGTGCGATCATGCATTTTTGCACTAAACTCGCAGATCACTATTAGCAAGAATAATCCCTGCGCTGTAGCCTAATACTTGGGCTCATACTGGCCATGCCTTGATTCTTACCGTCATGCAGGAGGAAGGGCATCAGTTGGGTTGAAGGTGGTGCATTATAGAGCCGTACGGACATCCAGGTGCATGATTACCGGTTTTTTGCATGAAGTCCGGTCGTTCTTTCGGTAAATGCTCACTTTGTGAAAAAATGACAAATGCAAATTTTTTGAAAAAATGCAAATTTCCAGTTCACTAAAAATGGAAGTATTGCTCGAGCGGTCGTTTGTCAAAAAATGCACGTTCATTTACATAGACGATTGCGGTTAAGGTCCGATCTACGAACGAATTTTTTGAAAATATGCAAATTTTCAGTTCATTGAAAAATTGT